CATATAATTAACACATGGAGTATAATGCATCTCTATACTATGATTATTGATTTCAGTAAATATTTATATACATAGAAAATTAACTCAAATAATAGCTAAAACAATAAGTTTGACACCTATTCATACTATTTTTTAACAATGTTTGAATAATATTTAAACTATGATCGAATATTTATCAAATTTAATATAACTTATTTGAACAAAATTTTAACACTAATCAAATCATGTTCAAACATTAATCAAAATACTTGTTATCCATGATAGAACCTTCATTGATCATTATTCAATCCTTCTTCAAACTTATAAAGAAGCTTTGAACAACTATTTTAGCTAAAAATTTTGTTTATACAATGCTTTGAATTCAATCCTTTTAAATTCTAGAGAAGTTTTAATTTAAGTGTAAGCTTCATACTTATTATCCCAAAAAATAAAATAAATTATATTTATCTTTGATTTTGGAGACTCAAATGAAGCATCTATTGATATGATTATCTTTGATATATTTTTTCATCTTCTATTTTTAATTTTTTTGAAAATACGTATTTTTTAAATCCCTATTTATTTTAAATTTACTTGAAGTTTTATTAGACAAATATTAATGTGATCATAATTTGAAAATAGAAAAATAAATCAGATAAAAAGAAAATAATCAAATAATTAAGATTCTTAAAGAGAGATTTTTTTTTTTTTTGAAAAAATAGGGCCCAATTTAAATTAATTATTGAATAAATACAACAAGCGTAAAGTAGCTCTCTGTCAGACAGTGGAAGGCTATTGCTTGCTTAGACGTGAATAATAGGGAATATTTTACATACGCACGAGCGAGCAGAGGGTAATGCAATTCAAATAAAGTTGAAAAAGTAATCATAACTGAATTTTTAAAATAAGAAAATAATTATGATTTTGGAAATTGAAAATAATTTTTTTTAACAAAAACAAAAAAAATAAGATGATAATCACAATGTGGTTCATAGATGATTATTAGATGAAGGATTTCTGTTGGAAAAATTATTTTGTGCACCATCTAGATTTGTGTTCGGATATCGCACAGAATAATCTATTTTTCTGTTGAGAGCAGATGTGCCCAATTACTTCGCCGTCCTTCAGAAAATAATTTTTTTTAGAAAATTAATTTTTTATGTTTATATGAAAATTTTATTTATTTATTTAATAAAAGCTGAGAGTTGGGTTAAATTTTTATATTGAAAGATAATTAGTATAAAAAAGATGTAGCACCTTTAATGGGTTCATCGAATGCTAGGGTTTCATCTGCCAGGTTATTGCTCAATGACATCATCTCTCAGTGCATCAGCTTGCTTCTTCTTGTTGTTGTTATTGTTGTTGTTGTGGTCCTTACTAAACCCTTTGATTGTCATCTCAGGCAAGACCGGACAGCCTAAGTGTAGTAACTGCTACTACATAAACAAATTGATCAGATGCAAATATGCTAAGAAGTTCATGCGTGCCTTCATATATGTTAAGTGTTTGCTAAATTTCTAGTTATTAAGTGCTTATTAAGGTAGAAGAGTCTCTGATTAAGTTAGAAAATGGTAGAAAATCCAAGTGCAGAAAGTCTCTTGGGAGCAGTATTACAACATTATCACTTGAACTTATATGAGCCACCTCTAAAATCCTATATTTTTTATGGATGATTCTGAGATAAAGATGCTAATGAGGACGTCAATATGTGCAAAACACTTCATATAGTGAAAGTTTTAATGTGAGAGATATTAAAGTGCACTACGACTAATGTTATTAGGGCACTTACATGTTTGTATTATATTCTATTTTGTTTTATTTTTGTTTCTATTCCTCCATCTACCTTATGTAGGTATGAGATGATCAAGGGAGTTATAATTAGAATGGAAATTATAGTAGAAATCGGGCAGTGTTTACTCCATTTTCTTTATGCTAGCTGGTGGACTAATCAATGGAGGTATAAGTGAAAGCGGAGTTATAAACATGCATCGGGATATATATATATATTCATATCATATTTTATATACTAGATTGACAATCCATTAAGTAATATAAATTAATATTTATGTCTAAAATTAAGTTATATTAACGGTAAAGTTAATGTTTTTTATGTTAACAAGAAAGTTCAAGATATAGCCAAGTTATGTACAAGGTTATAATATTTCCGATACATATCCAAGTTCAAGAAATGCGTATCTCGCCCTTCTAATAAAGTTAAACATATTAATACAAGAAAATCCAATGTTACTATTTCATGAACAATAATGTTATTTTATGTTACATTTATAAAGATTATTTGAATAATTTATGAAATCTTTTCTTCATATAATTGTAAATGTGAATCATGATTCAAGTATTTGCTTTCTCTATAAATTATACGTTATTTCAAGATAAGAAAGTTGTTGACTTATTAGAAATTGATATGGTATGAGTTTCATTCTTGCTCACTTTGTAAATTATTGATGATCTACAAGTATTATAAACTATGACAAAAAATTATTTTTGAAGAAATGTAAAATTTTGATTCTATATATTAATTATTTTATTTTTATTTTGGATGTTTAGAGGCTCTTGTATGTCATGTATTGAGAATGAGATGATTAGGATTAGATTTTAATTATTCCATTATACCCTAGGATAAAATAGAGTGGTATTAGAGCAATAGTTTGGAAGAATTAAATCATAATCAAACTTGTATAAAATGATATTTAGTTAAATAAAGAAGCATCTATGATAATCTGATTGTATTTTCTATGTTATGTGATATATAGGTGTATAGTTGAACAATGTATTTCATTTTAGGTAAAAATGTCAGTGAGCAAGGACCTCCAAAACCTAGAAGCAGCTGATGGAGAGTGTTCTAGCATAACTGCAACCATAAAAAGTACATTGGGAGCATTGGTCTCTGACTCCATTATGTAGTTAAAAGACTACTTGTGTAGCAGTTCTCAACTAAGTTTTAGGATATAAGGCTAATAGTTTTCATTTACTACATCATAACTCCAAACCTTTTCTCAATTTTATGATGAACAAAATATTAGTCTTAATTTTCTAATAAAATGAATAACTTACATAATAAATTTAAACCTTTAACATTATAAATCTTAAGATATGATATTATGGAGTACTTCTAAGCTTCTTAGAATCCAACACTCTCTATTTTTCATCATTTAGTCTCTGAAAATAACTTTTATAATTAGAACTAATCTCATTTGAAATTCTAAGAGATCATCCTTGTCTAAATTTGAAAATCATAAAAATAATTGTATTACTTTAATCAAAAGCATTATCAATATATCATTTCTCTTGGAATATAATTCACCCCAAGAGCCTACCTTGAACTTGTGCATGAATAAAATAAACTCTATCTTATGCATATTATGAAGTAAAAAGGCTCTTTGAGTGTAAGTATTTTTTTCTAAAACTCTATTTTTTATTTTGAAACCATCATTTAATAATATTTTTATATTTCAAGACGATATGCAATTCTTGATATAATATTTAATCACAAAAATAAAATTTTCAAATACATTATTTACTCTCCCCCATGTGTTATTAGCGACTTAATCAAAGACGGTGATTGGTGCATTTTTAATTTATCAAATGCATATGGGAACTTATTATAATTTTTATCATTATGTTCTCACCATATGCTTTGTAGATTACATAAAAGATGCAAAAAAATGTGAATATTATATATTCATATATGTCCATGTTGGTAATTTTCAGGTATCTAATAGATACCCATCAAGAAGCTTAACCCAAGGGATCACATGATCAAAGTGACACCCACCTGAAGAAAGCTTGATCCAGCAACACATTAGTTGAAGCTAGCACATGGGCAATAAGCCATTCTTCCATGTGGAAATCACAAGTAGGAGATAAGACCAAGGACGTAATTATCCTCAACGAGCTCGCCAAAAAACCTGCCTATACAAATCTGCACCCTAAAGACCACTTGCCTTAATAGAGATCTCTCAACTATAACAACAATTTGCAATCAAAACAACACACCTTCCATGGACATCTTGAATCAAGCTACAAAAAATAATAAACCTCAAAGAAGTCTACAACTATGACATTATTGATTGATTTCATCCCAGGCTCACATCCACTTTCACCCAGAAGACTCACCCCTCACACCCGATGGCGCAACTTTCATTCTTGAGGACTCACCTTTCATTTCTAGAGATTAGCCTTTACAGACTCGCCAAACATATCAAACCCTAAAACTCACCCAAGGCACTCTCGTAAGAGGAGGGGAGCCACATCAAAGACAAGGATCCATGTGTGTATCATCATGCTAGTCTATGTGTCTATATCAATCATGTTAGATACTACTCATTTTTACTTTATTTTATTATAAGTTTAGTCTATGCTATAACTCTTTTAACCCTATAAATAAAGGATAAAAATACATATTTTGAATTTCCATTCTATTAGAAATATTCACTAACTCATCATAATCACTAATTTTGTTTATTAAAATTTTATACTCTTTTGCGAATAACTTGCTTATAATGAATAAATTTGAATCCAATAGATATAAAAATCATGATAAAATAGAAAAAATTATATAAAGATTATCTTGCTATGAGACATTGAAAGAGATGATGAAGCATTTAAGTCTACTTTTAATAATAATATAGTGAGCATCACAAACCATAATCTTAATCACTTATACTTTTCATATATATATATAATACACACACACCTTATCACAATTAAATGTTGCAGGATTGATAATCTAATAAAAATATAAGATATTTTGATAGAAAATTATAAAAATAAATATAAAAAGTTCTTACTAGTTTATTACTATAAATAATTAACTTGTAAATGTTATAAAAAATATCAAAAATCAAACCTAATCAATCCATCCACCAATATGAACCAATCCAAAAGTCTCTTCTACACACAACTAATCAGTACCAACAATTGACTGAAGACCAAGTGAATTAAATAAATATTTATGATTTTTTTTTTATGGAGGAAAAAAAATCATTAATGATGCCATTGGGAACCAAATATATTTAAAGCTTTCTGTTAACTAAAGATCATAAAAACAAGGCACCAACTTTCATAAATGATGCACATGACAAATAAGCCAAAAACTTCCAGCACCTGACATGTTGACCCCCCACCACTTCTAATTTCACATATGAAATTAACTACTACTGCACTACCCAATATCAAACCACCTAATTCTTAAGACCCCCAAAACCAACCAATTCTCCCTCGCTCCCCCTGTACAAAGATCTACAGAGGCTTTTATTCAAACGCTTAGCAGATAACCCTTTGCTTCATCGGCCGTCGGCGGATCGCTGGTCGAACTGTTTGAGGACTCCTCCCCAGGCTTCAATGGAGGGCTCGGCACATCCGTGAGGATTTGAACGACCTCCCTCATCGTCGGACGTTCGACGCTCTGCTCGGCAACGCAGAGCATTGCGACATAGAATACATGCATTGCTTCCTGCATGGAAACTGTAGGAAGCCTTGGGTCCAGAATCTTGATCACCCCATCTTTGTTCGAGTCTGTCACCTTCCTAACCCACTGTACAATGTCGACGCCATCGCCGAATTCCCCGACTGGTTTTCTACCAGTTACTAACTCAAGTAGAACCACACCAAAGCTGTACACATCGCTCTTCTCGTCCACTTTCAGTGTGTATGCGTACTCTGCAAAGCAAATGGAACAGAGCATCAACTTAGTTTAGATTTCTCATAGCTTAATAAACAAAATCATTAAAGACTTTTCAATAAAGAAACTTTATAGAAACAGAGACTTTGCACGATCGGTATGGGTTGGAAAACAAAGGTCTGAACTTCCCTCATCTACAGTGACGGATTAAAAGCAGAGTAAAAAAGCTTCAATTCTCTTTTCAAGGCAAAAAAAGTTTTAGCTGCAGAGCTTTGTATCTCAGCATTCAAAATGGTGAAGATCAAAACTGAAAAATAACGGCTGTAATATTTTTAAGTGAAAGAAATTTAAGAAACAATACCTGGGGCTATGTAGCCATAAGAGCCGGCAATGGCAGACATGCATTCGGAGGTGCCGGAATCCTGAAGGAACTTAGCCAGGCCGAAATCAGCAACATGGGCTTCAAAATTGGAATCAAGTAGTATATTATTTGATTTGACATCGCGGTGAATGATCAGAGGAGAACAATCGTGGTGGAGATAGCTGAGACCTTTAGCTGCTTCCACAGCTATCTTATACCGAAGATCCCAGAGCAAGTGGCCACCTTTCTTCCCATGAAGAACCTCTCCAAGGCTACCATTGGGCATATACTCGTATACAAGAAGATTAGTTTCATGGTTTGAGCAGAAACCTAGCAATCTCACAATGTGTCGGTGTCGGATTCGACCAAGTGTTTGAATCTCAGCGGAGAAGCCATGGTCGTGCGCAGCTCCCCTGCTCATCACGGGCAGACGCTTCACAGCCACTTGCTCTCCGCTTGGAATGCTGCCTTTGTACACAATGCCTGCACAGCCTTTTCCGATGATGTTTTCCTCCTTGAGACAATCCAGCACGTCGTCGCAGGTGAAGTCCAAGCGCTGGAAGGTGGTGAGCTTCCATGCCCGGGCTTCACTTGCCTTCTTTAAAGACCGGGCTTTTAAGATTGCAACTATGGCGAAGACGATGGAACATAACAGAAGGCCTATCACTAAGATTAGCTTGGAGGACGAGGATAGGCCATGGGTGTGGCCGGAGCCTCCATTTGCCGCAGCACCGGAGTGGCATGGGCCGAGATAAGGGCCGCAAAGATCCGGATTGCCCATGAAGGATGTGGCGTTGAAGTAGCTGAACTGGCCGGTAGCAGGAACGAGACCAGAGAGATTATTGTAAGAGAAATCAACAGCTGTTAGGCTTTGCATTGTGGAAATGGAAGATGGAATGCTGCCTTCCAAGTGGTTTCTTGAAAGATTAAGGTAATTCAAGATACGCATCCTGGTGATCTCCGCTGGGACCTCTCCAGAGAGGTTATTTCGGCTGAGATCAATAAATGAGAGGAGCTTGCAATTGCTGATCTCTGGCGGAATACGGCCGGAGAAGCCGTTTCCGCTGAAATCCATCTTGGAGAGCTGCTGCAGCCGGCCGATGTCCGGCGGGATGCCGCCGAAAAAGAAGTTTTGGTTTAAAAGAAGCTTCTGTATACCAGAAAAATTACCGATCGAGGGCGGGAGAGGACCGAATAGACGATTGTTAGAGAGGCTAATCTGTCCGAGGTTTGGCGAGATGTGTAAACTCCCCGTCTCCGGGAACGCGCCAGTGAGAAGGTTGTCCTGGAGCTCAACCTGTGCGAGATCCGGAAGGCCGAAAAGTCCACTGGGAATGGATCCATTGAGATAGTTATCTCCCATACGGATTCGGCTCAGAGACAAGCAATGGCCGAGAGATTCCGGAATCGGGCCAAAAAGGAAGTTTCCGAGCGCGATTAGCGTCTGCAGTTTGTTTCCGAAGCACAGATCAGGAGGAAGATTGCCGTTGAGCTTGTTTGTAGATAGATCAAGAAGTAGGAGGCGGCCGTTCCGGCCGAGCAGCCTAGGAATGCTTCCGGTGAAGTTGTTCTCCCAGAGCTGGAGCACCTCCAGCTCCGGCAAATCGCCGATAAAGTCTGGAATGGCTCCGTAGAGGTTGTTCCGAAATAGATTCAATAACGTGAGGTTCCTAAGTTCGGCGAACGACTTAGGTATCTCCCCCGTGAATGCGTTGTTCGAAAGATCCATCGATTTGAGGCTCCGAAGCAGGCCGAGCTCCGCCGGTAGCTCGCCGGAGAGGCCATTAACCTGCAGGAAAAGAGTATCAAGGTTCACTAAGTTGCCAAACTCGGATGGAATCTCGCCGGAAAGGCCGCAGTTAGCCATGTCCAGTCGAACGAGGTTCGTGAGATTCCCGATTTCCGGCGGGATACCCCCCTCGTAGCTGTTGAAATAGCCAAGGTATAACTGCTGTAACCGCTTGAGCTTCCCGATATCCGGCGGGATCCGGCCGCCGAGCTCGTTGCCGGACACGGCAAGATACTCCAGAAACTCCCACCCTCCATACTGCGGCGGAATGACACCGGAAAAGAAATTACCACCAAGGTGTAGATGGCGAAGGTTGTGGAGCTCGGTGACCTCGTGTGGGAGGATACCAGTTAGATTATTGTTGTAGAAATCGAGTACTCGAAGATTCTTGAGGCGTGACAGTGTGGACGGGAAGCTGCCATTGAAGATGTTGTTAGAGAGGTTTAGATACCGGAGATTAGAAGCGAGCGAGATCTCCGGCGGGATAGGGCCAGAGAAAGAGTTGACGGCGGCAGAAAAATTGAGGAGGTCGTGGAGCTGCCCTACGGCGGGGGATAGAATGCCGGAAAGGTTCATGCCGGTCAAGTCAAGGGAGATGACTCGACCTTGCTCGTCGCAGCCGACGCCGATCCAAACGCAGTGAAAGGATGATTGGTTCCAGCTTGCAAGGGAACTGGAAGGATCTGAAACAGAGGACTTCAAAGTGAGGAGCGCCAGCTTCTCCGGCGAGATATCGGCCGCCGTAGCCTGGCGGAGGAAACATGCCAAGATTGTTAAAAGCAATGGAAACCACATTGCTGCTGCTGATGCACTGTCTCTCTCTCTCTCTCTCTATAACAGAGCAGTGTGAGCGAACGAGGCAGTCTCTGCAGCTCTGGAGAAGGAAGAAAGCCGCGGGTTTTATGGTTTTTTTTTTAATTAATTTATTTAACAACAGTTCATAATTGATATTTATTTATTTATTATAATTTGGCGCTTTTTTCCATGTTGTAATTTTAAAATTTTCATCGATTGCTCTGATCGAGATTTCATATTTGATATTTGTTCCTTGTTCTGTTTTAGAAATTTTGCAGCTTGAAAATAGGAAAAATAAAATAAAATAACTATGATAAATTTTTTTATTAATTAGTTAGGAAAAAAATAAATAAAAAAATAAAAGTGTAAGTAAAAAGGAGATGTGATGATTTAGTTGCAGAGTGAAGCACATGGCTTTGAGAGTTAGAGCCCTTCACGACAAGGCACCGAGAATTATGAGCTCATTTATCGGATGATAAACTGTAAAATGATGGAAAATTATTATTATTATTATTAGAAAAATTTAGGGCAAAGCTCTTCCATTAAATCCAAATGTTATAAAAAAAATGAACAAAGGAATATAGAAAAAAAATAGAACCAAAAGGAACGAAGCTCCCAAATTGCAAACAAAAACTTAGGATAGGTAAAAAAAATCAACAAAAGATCTACAAAAGAAAAGCCCAAGCAACAAAAAAAAACAATCGAAAGAAGGCAGGTCAGGACTCGGAATATTTTGTTTTAATCATAATTTTCATATTTCTATACTGTATTTCATACTCCTATGGTTGCCCAAAGATCGTCCGAGGGGAGATGTCAATGGGTAGAAAATCATCATTGTCCAAGGCCCCAAAATTTCTGCCAAATCAGAGCAAACGAAAGGCAACAAGAGGCATCTGAGGCATTTGCTGAAACATGACAAACAACAACTGATAAATCAAAAAAGCACACCCAACAGTGCAGTCCAAACCCCAAAAATAGATTGAGCTTTATATCTCAAGTTCTAAAAATTTATAATTTCCCTTAAACCATCTCTGATCTTCTAAAGAGAGATCTTCAGACTAACTACTTTCCTAATTTTACCACTCAAGGTACCAAAATAGTAGATGTTAGATCCAAACTTCTTCACATTATGTTCTTGCAAAATATGATAAATATAGCAATTAATAGAGAGAAGACAAAAGTTTTTGCATCAAGCAGCTTGCAGGATAAGCTTCCGATAAAATCTACCATGTGGATAATATTTGGCCTAAGATGAAATGTTTGATTAAAGGAAGTAGGAAACATTTTGGATAGGACAAAAAAAGAGTAATCACACTAAAAAAAATATGTGGTTATAGCTTTCATAGAAATTATGATAGAGAACACGCTCAGAATCCACCCTATGTTCATTCTAAAAAGTACATCAACCGTTTTAAGCCCACCAAAAATAGTCAGCCAAGCAAAAATAGAGAATCGAAAAGTATGTCGTTTATACCAAATATACATGTGTCAATCAACAGAATCATACATACTAAAATAATCATTATAAATAGCTTGAAATAAAGCTTTAGTAAAATTCTCCCAAACTAAACATATAGAAGAAGAGTTACAAATTGAGATTGAAGTGATATTATTTCTTAGTACAACAGTGATCTGAGGAGGTAAATTCTATATATTATCCAAAATCAAGATGCATAATTTTTCCTTAGGGTTATTGAGATGGAAAGAATACTAATTAGAATGAGCCTCCATAAGAGAGATCCATTGCACAAGTGATCCCACAATAAATTAATTATGCAGTTATCATGAATAGTAAATTTAAATTGGACTTGGCTTTAAGTGCAGCATCACAAATACTTTCCAATATGTCGTGGCTAGACCATTGAGAGATTTTCAAGGGGAAGAATATTTAGCAACCAGCCAGTTGCAGATTAGGGGGGAGTAGAAGTTGTAAAACCTATAAATAATAGAACATTTAAATGCATTTATGAAAGCATACAAAGAAGGAATCACAAGTCCTTACACTTTGGCATGCACGTATTGATCAAAGAAATGTGATGTAATTCGATTGAATATCCCCATAATACAAGAATCTAACACAAGGTTTCCACAAGGTTTTGCATATTCTTTTATGTAAGATGACTCCTCTGATCCAATAAACAATTATGTTAGAGATAATGTACTTAATGAATTGTAACCTACCTACAAAAGAAAGTAATCTAGAATTCCAGCTAGAGAAAGTAATCTAGCATTCCAACTAGAGAAATGATAAGTAATCTTCTCCAATAATGGAAAAAAATCATAAATTTTGGGTCTCGAGGAAGAAATGGGAATTCCAAGGTAGGTAAAAAGTGAAGTAGTGTTGTTGATTAGAAGAGCAGAGGCCAAAGCAGAAGGGGAGGGAATAGTGGCTTTTAGGAGCCCGAGTTTATGATAAAGGTCGTTAATAGGATTGTTATGAGGAGCAACTGCAAATACATAGATCAAATAATTCCAATACTCATTGTTGTAAGAGTAGAAATTTTTGTATATGAATCTACGCCTTAGGGAGGGTCTTTCAGCAGAATTAAGAGGGTTAGAAATTTTTTGACCTTCATCGCCCACCAACTACGGCCCTTCCGACCACTTTCATCCGACTATTATCTTTTCAACCTTCGTCGCCCGCTAACTATGATATTTCTAACCTTTGTCACCCGACTACGATCCTTCTGATCGCTATCTCTTGACTACGATCTTTTCGACCTTCATCGCTTGACTACAATCCTTTCAATCATCAACTGACTATGTTCTTTCAAACCTCTATCGTTTGTCAACTACAGCTTTCCAACATCCACCATCTAACTACGGTCCTTCCAATCACCGTTGGTTACTATGGCCTTTCCGACCTCCGTCACCCACCGATTATAGTCATTTCAAACTTCATTGCTTAATTGACTACGATCTTTCCAAGCACCATCACCTGACTACAATCTTTTAGACCTATGTTGCCCGTCGACTTCGATATTTCTAATCACTATATAACCGATTATGATCCTTCTGATCAGCTTCGTCCAACTATGATCTTTTCAATCTCTGTCGCTAGCCTACTACGGTTCTTCTAATAACTGACATTTAACTACGGTCTTTCTGACTTCCATCGCCCACCGATATATATATATATAATTTCATATTCCAAATTTTCTTAAAAGTATTCTGAAATTCAAATTTTATTTTGGAGAAATATTAAATCCAAATAATCCGATTAAAATTTAATTATTATGAACTTTTTAATTCATTTTAAAATAATTATAACGTTGTCTAAAAATAAATAATCATGATAATCAAATAATCCTCTCGCGTCGTTTGACCACCACAAGACCCGGCCGTGCTTTTTTTTTTTTTTTGGGAGAAATAAAAAATTAACGCGACCGTGCTAATAAATAACAATAATTCAAATATCGAAACAAATCCTCGTGCTTGCCAAGTGTTTATTTTTTGCGGGGTCCACATTTTGGAACTTGTGATAAGTTTGTATAATATTTAAATTAAACAAATTCATTTTTTTTTTGTGTTTATAAAAATTAAATCTAATTATCATATTAAAAAAAAGCTTTCTACTTTGATTCGATTTTATTTTTACCATCGAATTAATTAAAAAATATTTAGAAGCATACAGACAAAATCTAAGATTAAAATATTTAGATTACTAATGAATAATAAAAATATAAATTAACTTAAAACTTACATGAAAAGAAATTAATTCAAATAAAGTTTTTAATAAAAACCATCCTTCCTTAAAAAAATACTTTTATTTATTTTATAATTTACAACTTTCATTTATTCAATTTGCGACAAATGTCATTTCTTTTATTTTTAATCATTAATTTTCTGTCCGATTAAATCTGCCTCTTTTTTTATTATATCTAAATTACTCAAAAATATGTTATTAATAATATTTTAACTTCATACTATTTTAAATTATTTTATTATAGCCAGCAAATGTAAGTACGAGTCCACTTGCGTTCGGAAAGATAAAAAGGTCATATACTGCCGGCGGAGACCGCCGGCGAACTATATTCACCGCCGGCGAATGCTTTGGCTTTGGAAGTCGAACGGTACTTATTTACTCTGTTCGTTTATGATTATTGGGTTTTGAGAATATTTTATTGGAGGATATGGCTCTTAATAGTTAATATTATCATTATCGATGTAATGGCGATTTTCTTTTTGGGTGAAAAATTGGTAAGAAATTTCTAATTAAAATAGATTCAACAGCTTTAAAATTAATTCTTCTCAAATTTTAATTAAAATATTTAAATTAACTTTTTAAATTTATTGAATATATTTTAAGATGAATATAATAATTAATTAATTTTATATTACACTCATTTAGAGATAAATTTATGTAATTTCGATATTATCAAATAATAGTTTCCCCTTAATTTTTATTGAAGTTAAAACATTGAAATTTAATGAGTTGGACAAACTTTAGGCGTGCCTAAATTGAAAGATGGTCAATTGAGATGCTAGCTCTTGTGTAATTGTGTTGTTAAATTGAAAACTTTCTATTTAAACTTCATTTGGAATAACTTTTTTATTGTTCTTCAAATAGCTTTTTAGTACAAAAATTAAAATTTTATACTTAAAAGCTGCTTTAAGAAGCAGTAAGAAAGTCGTCACAAACAAAGCCTTAGGCTTCATTTTGGATGACTTTTTTTATTGTTTCTTAAAACAGCTTCGTAGTAAATAAATTTTAATTTTGTATTAAAAATTTGTTTTAACGAGCAGTAAAAAAATCATCCCAAATGAAATCTTAAATTAAAAGAGGTACCACACTTATTGGATGAGAGAGAAAGTTTCGAAATTGAACTTCTAAGATATTAGAGAGCCGATCTATTGCATAAAGGAGCACATTTTGATTATTGATGATAAGGAATTGATGATAGTCATAAATAGTGAACACAAGTTGAAATTATATAATTATCAAATTTGCTCTTTCACATTTCCCCCACTTTATAGCAACAATTATTTTTATCTCATTCATCTTAAATTTAAAATTTAAAATCTTCAATGTTAAAATTAATTTAGACACAACTCTTCTTAATCTTTTGGTTGGGAGCTTTGACTACCAGCTAAGAGGTCTTGGGTTTAAGTCTTGTGTATGAGATGTTATTAATTTTCTCTAAATATACATTTTAAGATAGCATTTGTTTTGATTTTCAGGAATACAAAATGGGACCTCTAAACAGATAGAAAATACAAAATTAATTATGAACATTTAGTTTTTGCGTTGATTTTTTACAATAAAGAATACACGCCAAAACAAACAGAAAATACAAAATTGATAAATATTATTAATAGGTGTTTGATATATTCCATTAAAGACAAATTTTGGGACATATAAATTTTCTCGGCAATTATCCACTACAAAGTTCGAATTAATTTATTTACTTTTCAATAATTATAAATTCAGTTTTGAATTATGATCTATGATAATCGCTCAAAAAGCCTTGACCTAAACAGCATCGAGCCATTTGTCTGAGTATCTAAGATTTTATTTGGGATGATTTTCTTGCTATTTTTTAAAGTAATTTTAAAAAAATAAAAAATTTTGTAGTAAAAAGTTATTTTAAAAAATAAGAAAACAGTTCCTAATGAAACCTAAATTAAATTAATTTGCACCTTAATTCATAATAATCTAATGCGCTATAGGCATTTCTCGCTGACGTTTGAATTAAAAAAAAAAAAACTAAATATAATTTTTTGTAATTAATGGTTTCTTTAATGTGTACTCTAAAAAATAATAGTGACTTGGCACTTTCCAATCATTATACAAAGAGAATATTTTGGATGAAAATTTTCTAATTCAAATTTAATAAAAAAATTTGAAAAAAAATATAATATATCATAATACACTTAATTTTTTTTTTACTCAAAAAAAATACACTTACTTTTAAAATTAACATATTATATGAAGTATTTAAACTAAAATTAATCTCAATATAAATTTAATAATTATTAAAAGCGTCTTAATAAAGAATATATCTTGACATAATTTTTTTTTTCCAATAAATTGTATAACCATCACATTTATTTTAAGATAAATACAATGGATAACAATCAGTTGAAAAACTTTTGTTATATTCATCTAATTTTTTTTAGTAATAATTGATACATCATAAAATATGGCCTTGATCGAGCACTAATCTTGAGGCCTATTCAAACTAACAACTTCTAAAATTAAATAAGGGACCATTCGAACTCCAATTTCAACAAACTTATAGTTAAACTGAATGTCTCAAAAAGATGAACCCAACGACATCAATATAGGATCAATTTGAGCCAAAATGGATCCAAATTAGGGGGTCAGAGCATATTTGAAACCTTCAAAGCATAAATTAGATGATCAAATAATATTCAAATATAGCATGCTTATAATCAAATCGAGCGGCTCGACGAGAAGAATCTAATGAGACCAAGAACGCTTGATTATGACATCATTATGGTACTCAAATGCTTGATGAGTGCTCTATTATCAAGGGAATCAATATGAGTCTTTCGATTGACCAATATGATTTTGTCTTTAATTTTCTCTATATTTACAAAGCCGACTATCACCAGACCATTGCCCATCTGTTGACCATCATTAAATCACTGCATATCCGTCGACCTTCGCCTAACCACCTCCCCTCCGCTGACCACCACCTATCCGCAGATCCGCAGACTATCGTCGAATCATTGCACGTCGTTGAAACTCTACACCACCACCTACCGCAGCAGAATCTCCGACCAACTGCTAACCATTGTCGGTACTCCGTCTGACTGTTATCAACATGCCCTCCGACCATAGTCGCCTGTTGACTACGGTCCGTCCGACAATGTAATATACTCTATATGCCCTCAGACCACTGTTGCCCGCAGACTATGATTGCTCTGAGCACTGTCACTTCATTACGATGCTACTGACCGAATGGAGATACCAACATTCTTTTGGTAGCAACTCTCATATCACTAGATTCTTCTAACTCCCACAATGTAATATACTCTATATGATGTATATTTGATATATCAAGCCAATGTCGTCACCTCAAGGAAAGGCCTCATTTGTAATCAACAATAAATACTAGTGGAATCATTTTAACTGGGTCAGACCCCGTAATTTTTTCACTTTTTAAGATTTTTATGTAAAAATCTTGACGTCACTTATAACTCTCACACCCTTCTCTCTCTTATCTGTCTATATGCTATATTTTTGCACAAAACATAGACACTAAACTCTATTCTTCTCTACTGCTATGAATGTTCAAGTACACAACAACTATAAAGTTTATTTTAATGAAATTTAAATAAAAATATTCCAAAAACATGCTATCAATTAACGAGAGATGCTTCCAATAACTTCACCTATAAATCTCTATTTTCTCGATAAAGTGGACTCATATGAATATTCAAATAAATACCAATGAAAAATTGAGTTTTACTCGCATATTATTATTAACTTTTTTTTTTTTTGGGAAATTATTATTATTAACTTAGAACAATAATTATGAAGTAATTCGAAATTTCAGCTGATAATGAAATTATAAACAACACTAAATTAAATTTGTTAGGGACACATAATTTGTTTGTTATGATGGTTGATTGGCTGTACACTTAATCATTGAGCGGGCCATATTTATCAGCTCAATCATTTTTATGTAGGTTTGTGTGGTCATATTTAGTTCGATATTAGGGTGAAATAGTAGTCAGATTTAACTGTACTCTTCACATAAGACGTGTTTAAAGGCCGGCTTAGTTCACTTACGATACGACAATTATAATAATTTTTTTTTTCTTTTAATTTGTTTTTTTTTTTTTTCGTTGCAATGCAAGATTTTTTTGAATAAATATTATAGTATGAAATAGAAGATCAACTATTTAAAATTTTTAAATTTGAAGCCTTTGCGGCCTCCATCTTTCTTTCGCATTTAAGGAAGAGAACTTCACTTAAGATAAAAGTTAATAAATTACATAGATAGATATAATTAAACTATTTCAATAAAATAGAATAGAAAAAGTAGGCCCAAACTAAAAGATAAATAGGAATAGAGTTATAACCCCAAAAAAGCGAGAAATTATTATATGCGAAGACCGGATGCAAAACGTCATCCGGAGACAAACCAAAATGTGCCACGTTAGCAGTACCGAGCCGCGGTACCGACCAATACCAAGCCATGATACCGAGCACAGAGGTGACCTGACTCATTCTAATTAGTCTCCGAATATCATTCGACGTTTTCATAGAATAATTTTTTAAATAGGAATGTAATCATAACCCCAAAAAAGCACACTTTACCTCAAATCACATGGGCCACAGGCCCACAGTCAACATATATGTATTTGTTCTTCGTTCACATATCCATATGTACAAGCAATTTAAAAAAGGACAAGCAAGAATCTCATAGCCTTTGGAGATAACGCTGTAAATAAATCTGATATGAAGGACTACTACTTTATTATTAAGCTTTGCACGGTTTATTTAATATGTTAATGTTAAAGAAAAAAAAAAAAAAAAACGAATCCAGCAGAGGCATTTGCTTTGCAACTCTAAAAGCCAAGTCCTTGTGGCCAGGATTTTAGGTGAAGAAGATTGCACAGAATCCGAATAGCCTCTTATTGCGGGAGAGACAACATGCAATTTTCTTAGCTGCTCCCACTGTCGTCGCTTTACAGCTGGGTAATTCATTCTTCGATGAATAAGGTTCATTTCCTAATTCCACCTTTACAATAATTTCTTATCTTTAGTTTCTATAAAAAAAATGTTCAATTTTTTTTAATAAAATACATGCTTTTTTTTAATGACTAAATAAATATATGACCTAACATATGTTGCACGGATACGCCTATTTATGAGACATGCTGTATCAAACACATGTCGGATATGGATACGCCTCCGATACGGTACAGATACAGCTTTGTCGTGTCCAATTAAAATATTATTTAAATGTGATCGAACATGCGTATCACTTGATACTCGGTATTGCTCAGTACTGCTCGATATTGTTCGGTACTGCTCGATACCAAGCGATACTAGAACTCAGTACTGCTCGGTACCGAGCGATACTAAAACTCAGTACTGCTCAGTACTCAATACGGCTCGGTACTAGTCGGTACTCCTTAGTACCGCTCGGTATCGGAACTCGGTACCACTCAGTTCCGCTCGATACTGCTCGGTACAGAGGGGTACCGAATGGTACCAAGCAGTGCTGAGAAGATAGAGAAAACTTTAAAGCAACTATGTATATGTAACTCCTACCATATAATGCAATCTATTTGATGTACATTTGCTACATCAATCCAAGGTCTTCTCCCAATGAAGGGTCTCATTTGTGATCGACTACAAATACTAGTGGATTCATTCAAACTGGGCCAGGCCCCGTGGTTTTTCCCCCTTCAGGGGTTTTCCACGTAAAAAACTCTAGTGTCTCTTATGAATGCTACACCCTCTCACTTATTTGATTGTGTGCTGGATCTTCGTACAATGCTAAGACGTTAAACCATATATTTCTCTACCGCCACGAATACTCCAGGACGCAACAATTATATTTAATATATGTTATATAACTCCGTTAAACTGGACAATTTTAATATCAATATTGACCCATCTTGATTTAACTTGCCCCTCTAAATTTAATTAGTAGTAAATGCAATATAAAAGCTGAAATTTATTTCTCTCTCCCATGTAGGTAAATGCTGAAATGTTCTTTAATCATGTTTGCTAAAACGGAAGATGAAATTTTTTTATTCTTGATATCTGACAAGTGGTTAGTTGTGGTTGTTGTAATTCTTTCAATGGTGATCCAACGCAAAGGAACTAAAAGGCTCTGCTATCTTTTTTATTTTTTTGGGAACGAGGTTATCTACCCGCTAGCACTCTAAAGGGAGGACTTGGCAGCATAACTAATCCATAAGCGGAACCTACTGACGCCACCCACCGGCATTGGACCCACACTTGCTTTGTCCCACTGAAGAGGAGAGGCCGTAGTAGAGAGATTCGAACCCGGGATGGGAGGTTCCCAACCATGCTCGCCCACCAACCACCTGAGCCTACGTGGGTGGCTCTACTATCTAAACAACTGACTTTGATGAAAGAATCTCACATGAAACAATAAAAATTAATGCAAATCAATCATTCTAGTTTTTATCAACTAATTATTCTTGTCAACCACAAGAATAAGAATTTCCCTAGACAAAATGGACTATATAACCATTAAATTTATTTTAAGATGAGTACCACACATTAATTAATTAATTAATTAATCAAATTTCACTATATACTCATCTTGAATAAAGTTTGATGATTATTAAAACCACCCAGATCAAATTTGGCAAGACATCCTAACCCAATGTTTACCATATGCCAATGGAACTAAACTGAAAGGGAATAAGAAGCCATTATTATGAGGCAGATAAAGTGGTAAGGTGTAAACAGTCCAGTACCTTGAAATTAAGGGGGCCGTCCTATCACTGCGTATCATTCACTGCAAGTAAGCACCAGGACCTGAAGTCAAAACTATAGGAAAAACCGATGATTCATTAGCATTTCAAATGCTGAAGATAAAAGTGAACTTCGAAGATTTCACGATTCTTCACTGAGTAAAATTTAAAGTTTTTAATATTGAACAGATGAATAGATGAAAGAAAAGGAAGAAAAATCCCAATTAGGCCAATGCAGTTAATAGATCATAGTTTTGTAAGTAGGTTGGGTGCAATTTTTTCAAATATTTGGGCTACATACGGATTTATACATCCAACCACAAGCTACTGCATAGAAATTCAGTTGGACTTGTAATCAGAGACGGGATGAAGCATTGCACAAAGGGGAATTGAACGCTAAAAATCATCATTACCATATGCGGCAAGTTCTTCAAGTTCATCCACATCATCTCCATGAGCATCATCGTCATCTTCTTCACCATCTAGGTGTTTCTGACTGTGAATAACTACAGGTGAAATAAAAAGTCAGCACCTTATCGTATTTTATCATCTCATACGCATTAGCAATTCAGAACACTAATAAAAAGATAGGAAATGATACATGCGGGGTTCTGATACAAAAAGTGAAAGGTTTATTCAACTAAAAGTTATAACTTAAAGATCAAAACCAGCTACTAGTATATATAAACAAATATATTTTTAAGAATGTGAAACTAAAAGCATTACTCTTGTACATCTTTAGCAAGGAACATCCTTACATGAGAGCTATCACATTAAACTACCCCGCAAGCAAAAGCTTTTCAAGCTCATCAAACATACACCAAGAGGCCATTTTACCAAATCGAGCCGTTATGAGTGTCATTGCTTTTGAACATTGCTCAATCATTACAGAAAGCACCAAATATGCATATGGGAGTCATAAATTATATGGAATGCTTGATTTCAATCAAACCATCGACTCTAATATCATTTGTTAGGGAGAGTGGATCAAAAGGGCCAAGGACATCAAAGTTGGACCCAAATGCACTAATAGTTTAAACATTTTCCAACAGAAAGTTTTATATCAAAGAGTAGGAGTTAATTACCAATAATTTCCAAACAAATATATTTTTCAACAATCCAATTTAAAATTAAATTTAATATTCTCATATATCTTAATAGGAACACTGTCGTTGCCAGGTCCCAAGTCCTGGATGAGAAAAGTAGAGTGTGCATTAGATAGTCAACAATCAACATAAAACTTGTCGAATAATCATGACATGAATCATTTAATACATTGTGTTAATGCTAGGGTATTCCCTGTAGGCGATGCATTATATGGCCTGAACACAGCAACAAATGAGCAAGAGTCGCTGCACCAGCGCCCGGATGCAATGTTAAATAAGCAATGGTTCCTACATCATGAATGAATGTGAGCAAAGAAGCTAGTCTATAAAACTAAAACTAAGGATAAGAACTTGAAATAAATATTCCCTTATAGACAAATTAATGGAATTAATAGATATTATGATCAATAGTAAAATAAATATTCTATGCATTCATGAAACTAAATGAGTTGAAGAGAAGTCTAAGGAGATTGATAGTTTAAGATTTAAACTATGGTATTATGGTAGAAGTCATACTTAGGGCTGTCAAAATTTGATCCGACACGAAAACCCGATCCAAAATCGACTCGGATTTTTCGGGTTTGGGTCGACCCGTTTAAAGAACGGGTCGGGTTGGGGTTTAGACTTTCGACCCGTTTAGTTTTTCGGGTCGGGTTTGGGTAAACCCGAATCTAACCCGAAATGACCCGCGCGATAAGTAAATAGGTAAATACTAAATAGCGAACCCGAGCCGCGCAACAGCGGATTCTTTCATTTGTTTCATCCGTGAGTTCTGTCTAGGGCTTCTTTTCTCTCTTTCTCATTGCCTCTCCAGTGCTGGAGCTCTCGTCGAGATCTAAGTCGTCAGCGCGACGGCATCCTCGCTTACCTTCCGGTTCCGACGTTTGGTGATCTGTTTGTATCTCTTTTCCATTACCATTTTTTGATATTTTGAAAATTGAAATTCCTTTGAGATTTTATGTTATTCACTTATTCTCTGCAACTGCAAGGGTGTTGAGATTTTTATTTTTAAGTTTTTAACAATTTAAATGGTTATTTAAGAGTTAAGAAGCGATTTTTAGAAGCACTGAAGCTGTTACCTTACATGTTCGATTGTTCTCGGTCTCGGCTAGGGTTTTATAAATTTGTGTGATTATTGTTGGTTGCTAGGGTGTTTAAAATTTGGTTAATGTTGTCTCTACTTAAGCCAGTTTGAACTTTTGTAGACGTGGAGATTGCAGGATCACTGAGGCAGTTAGGGCATAATGTTTTTTTGCCATTCTTCTTTTGGTTTTTGACTGATTTGTTGGTTGTTGACTCATTGACTTGTTAGGGCATCAAATTTTTTTCCATTTTGCATCTACCCCTTTAATATATTGAAGTGTTAAATGAAAATTTGTTTTAGTTCACTTCAAAATGATACTTCAAAATTAACAAATTTTATCTTTTTGAAAGAATTTTATCTATTCTAGTAGTAAGGAAATGGGCTCTTATGATTTATTTAAGATTCATGTACTTGGTTTCGATTTGACATGTAATAAATATTAAAATATTCATATTGTGATGTCTTCTAATATTTTTTATAGATGAAAGGCTCTAATACTATTCCAGATAATGTTTGTTCTGATGAAAATGAAGAAGTTGTGCCATCTGAAAATGTGATAGAGCCATGTAATGAGGGAGAGGAAGTTCCTAAGAAGCGGAGAAGAATGACTTCGGTTGTTTGGGGTTAATATGAGATGTTTATATTATCTTAGAAATTAGAATAAACAGATACTTTCTTACATTCTTAATATAAATTGTCACCTTGAATGGTAAGTTGTTAATATTCATTATACTTACATCTTACACTGCAATGACCTCATTATGAGATTAATAATTTTGAGGGTTTAATCTGAGCAATATATTATTATTACATATTAAAGTTTTTAACATGTATAATTGGTTTTGTTGCAGGTCACTGCGTCATTGGAGATTTGAAGCCGTTATTTCGAGGATCATTTCATCACATTATCATAGATTTATTGTGAACTCCTTTGTAATTTATAAATTGAATGGAATTTGTAATTGAAAGGATCAATTTAGTTGAAACTTGTAAGTAATTTGATAGATCTGTGAAGTGTGAACGAGTTGAGTTTGTAATTTATTTATTTAAATAAGCAATAGAGTTATTATTTAATTGTTTGCAAATTTACCTTTTCCCATTTTTTACCTCAAATTCTAATACGATTTACTGTACACTCGGTTAATCGGGTCGGGTCGGGTTGACCCGAACCCGAGACGGGTCGATTTCGGGTCACAAAAACTGATCCGTTTATAAAAACGGGACGGGTAGACTCGAACCTGAAAATTGCCGGGTCAGCTCCGGGTTCGACCAAAACCAGACCCGTGACCCGAAATTGACACTCCTAGTCATACTAGAAATGGTGTAGGTGTGATTATAGAAAAGAGTTTGAAGGATAATTTTGTAAAAAATAATAGAATTAGAGATATAATTATAGTTTTAAAATTGTTGTTGATGCTAAGATTATTAATATTATAAGCACTGATGCTCCTCAAGCAAGTTTGGACATGTATTCACAATTTAAATTTTAGAATGATCTAGAAGAACTAATATAAAAGATAACTTTCAAAGAAAGAGTTTTTATTAGAGTAGATTTAAATGGACATGTTGTTAGAGAGGAAGATTATTTTAAAAGCAATCATGGTGGCTATGGCTTTAAAGCGACTAATGAATGTGACAATATGATATTATATTTTTCTTTAGTTTATGATTTTGTACTTGTTAATACCTTATTTAAGAAAAAATATGATCATTTTATCACTTATAAGAATGTATATAATAAAACTTAGATTGATTATTTTCTTATAAGAAAAATAAATCATTTAGATTACAAATATTATAAAGTTATTCCGAGAGAATTTATGTGTCATCATCGTTTATTAGTTTTGAACTTTAAGATGAAAAGGCAAAAAATAAAAAAATAAAATAAATCATTTTTTTAGGATTAGATTGGGGCATTTAAATAATATTAATAAATTTATTTTTGAGAGTAAGATTTCAGATCTTAAAATTTTGCTTGTGTATGAGGGAAGCTAATGTTATGAGGGAAAAAGTAACTAGTGATAATAATAATGTTGCAAAAGATGTACTTAGAGTATTAAAGGAAAAAACTACAAATAATAAAAATAGTTGATGGTGGAATCAAAATGTGTAAGAAAATATAAAAACTAAGAAGATTTGTTATAAAAATTGGTTTAGCTGTAAAAATTTTGATAATTGAGAACTATATAAAGTGGCCCATAAGAAATTTAAGAAAGTAATTTGCAATGCAAAGATTTTAGCATTTAATGATTTATATAATATATTAGATGCTGAGGGAAAAAAATATGTATAAGTTAGCTAAACAAAGAGATAAGAGTAATAAGAATTTAGTTCAAGTGAAGTTCATAAATGATGAAGATCAAAAAGTGTTTTTGTTAGAAGAGGATATTCAACAAAGGTGGATGAGATATTTTGCTAAACTTTTCAATGAAGATTATGATAATGCGATTGACTTTAGAGACCTTAACACCCTAAATGAAAATAAAGATTTTTTTTATCAGCATATTAGTAAAAATAAAGTTAAAGAAGCTTTAAAGAAAATGAACTGTGGAAAAGTTGGACTTGATGATATCCAATAGAGGTGTGAAAATGCTTAAAAGATGAAAGAATTTCTTGGTTTACTAAACTTTTTAATATTATTTTGAAAACTAAAAAGATGTCAGATGAGTGGAGAATGAGTGTGTTAATTCTTTTTTTAAAAAAATAAAGGTAATGCACAAGATTGTACAAATTATAGAGGAATTAAGTTAATGTGTCATCATTTGAAACTATAGGAGAGAGTTATGGAGCATAGGTTACAGCGTGACACTAATGTTTCTCAAAATCAATTTGGATTCATGCCAGGTAGGTCTACTATGGAAGCTATACATTTATTGAGATGTTTAATGGAGAAGTATAGAGAGAATAAGGAGGATCTGCACATGATTTTTATTGATTTAGAGAGAGCATGTGATAAAGTTCCAAGAGAAGTGCTATGGAGAGTTCTACATAAGAAATTGGTTAATAATGCTTATATTCAAGTCATTAAGGATATATATGCAAGAGCTGCTACTAGTGTTCAAACACAACGTGGTTTAGTATTTTCCTAATTCAGTTGAATTACATCAAGGATCAACCTTAAGCCCATATCTTTTTGCTTTAGTTATGGATGTTATCACTAGACATTTGCGAGGGGTTGTACCCTAGTGTATGCTTTTTTGCTGATGATATTTTTCTTGTTGATGAGACCAGAGAGGGAGTTGAAAGTAAACTTGAATTATGGAGGTCAACCTTAGAGTCTAAAGGCTTTTGTTTGAGTAGATCTAAAACTGAATAT